TTCATCCCCATTCCCGTTTTCCTCTTCCCAATCCGGCGACTCCGATCAACTTTGGTTTCCTCCGATCGGTAGATCTACGCTTCCTTTTTGGTTCTTCGTTAGGGATTTCATGATCGGATCATGACCAACTTGAATTGAAGCGAGGGAAATTAAAGCGGCCAATGTGAGTTTTCTACGCTTCGGCGACTTCGATAATTAATTTCTCCGATTTATACCTTTTTCTTTTTTTGGTTTTTGGTTTTTTCTTCCTGTCATTCTGACCAGGTTCGGGTTCTTTGTCAGGAATTTCAAGAATCGAACCGAAACTGAAGCGATCGAGAGAGAAACCGGCAACATGAGAAGGGATTTGAATCTCCTGCTCTGGATGTAAGTCGTCTAGTTTTAATTTGTTTACACAAACATAGCTCTTGGAGACATAATACTAGGGCATATATCTAAAAATTCTAAAATGATTTGGAGTTCTTGACGGGGATTTGTTTTGCGTCTATTTAAATTACCAGCTGATCGAGTAGTTGTGTTTTTGTAGTATTAATTCTATTCTGTGTTTATTATACACTCCTTTGGACGATCTTCTTTTGATATTTTACTAACCCTTATATGCGTACTTTCAATTGAACTTGTAGAACTTTCTATTACTTCTCTGTTTTATCTGATCTCTCTCAAACATGAAGATATTAACTCTTAGGCAACAGTTCATCTGTCTTAATTTTTGTTGCACATAGGTTTCGATATCGAGTTAGTTGCTCACTTAATTCTATCTGTATGGCTGTCCTATAGGAGGTGGAAATGGCTGGATTGGAACTTCATTGAATTCAAACGAGGATGGAAAGTGATATATATTTTCCTTTGATAAATACGGTATGGAGTAGATAAAAACTACTTTGTTTTCTAATATATTGCACTTGAAAAGCGATTCTAATTCTTGATCTGGGATCTTTTTTACTGTCTGCCATCCAGATTTTGTTGTGCAGTAGTTATTTGGAGCTGATAGGGGAAAACAAGAGCTTCTGCCAATTTAGAAGCTAGAGCGTAAGAGAAGAGTAAGGCGAAGAAGAAGAMGACACAAGGGTTTAAGTGGTTCAGCCTAATGTTGGCCTACGTCCACTGTAAGGCTAATCTTTCACTTCTTTTAGAGAGAGAATTACAAAGGGAATTTCTTCATGGTTCTTCCAGAAGTACATAATGAGCTATTTAAAGGGCTTTAGCCTAATAACTAACTCTTTACAGAAGTACTCTGTTTTACCCATAGTTTCTGTTGTATTCAACCACGGTAAATATTACAAATCTCCACCTTTGAAGACATACAGAAGGYGAAAGACCAGCCCTTTTAAYCTGCTTTTTATCCTTTCTCMGGTATGTAGATTCCAGCCAATCTCAGACAATGTTCAAACTTTGCTTGGGTGACTGTTTTAGTTAACATATMTGCAGCATTATCAGAGGTATGGACTTTTATCACTTCTATYGTACCTTTTTCAATTTGTTCTTTGACAAAATGAAACTTTAYGTCAATGTGCTTGGTCCTGCTGTGGAATTGTTGATTTTTCGACAARMRRATTGTACTTTGATTATCACAGAAGATTTTTACTTTGGATTGATCAAAACCAAAATCTTTCAAGAGACCCTTCAACCACAAAGCCTCTTTGACTGCTTCTGAAAGGGCTATAAACTCTGCTTCTGTGGTGGAGAGTGCTACCACTGATTGGAGTGTAGCTTTCCAACTTATTATGTTCTCTCCAACTAGGAATAAGTATSCTGATAAGGACCTTCTCTTGTCTAAGTCCYCCRCATAGTCAGAGTCAACATAGCCATAAAGYTCCAACTCTTGTCTTTTCACTTGCTTGTATGTAATGCCTACGTTTTCAGTTCCTCTTAGGTATCTCAATACCCATTTTGCAGCTTCCCAATGTCTTTTTCCYGGGTTTGACATAAATCTACTAATTACACTGGTTGAGTAAGCCAAATCTGGTCTTGTACATATCATTAAGTACATTAAGCTGCCTACAACACTTGAATAAGGTATTGAGTTCATGTACCTTTTKTGTTCAGTATCATTTTCATCAGGTGAATTTGTAGATGACAGCTTGAAGTGTTGAGCCAAAGGAACTTTTACTGGTTTGGCTTCATTCATCTTGAATTTCATAAGTATTCTTCTGCTATACGAAGTTTGAGTAACTCTCATCTCAGCTAGTTTTCTGTCTCTGTAGATTTCATATGCCTAGGATCTTTTTTGCTTCTCCTAGATCTTTCATGTCAAATTCAGCTTTCAAGCATTTCTTCACCTGTTGTAAATCTTCCATTCTCTTGCTGGCTAATAACATGTCATCTACGTATAGTAGTAGAAAAACATTATTTCTTTCTGAWGTAGTCTTCACATAAAAACAACTGTCRTATGCACTTCTAATGAAACCCACTTTTGTAATAAATTCATCAAATCTATGGTACCRASATCTTGGTGACTGTTTTAATCCATATAAGGATTTGTTTAAGAGACAAACCTGGTTTTCCTTTCCCTTTTGTTGGTATCCCTCTGGTTGCTTTAAAAATATTGTCTCTGTCAAATGACCATGTAAGAAGGCTGTTTTTACATCTAGTTGATCTAGTTCTAACTCCATTTGTGTTACTAGAGCTAGAAGCATTCTGATAGTCGTTTGTTTCACAACTGGRGAAAAAATTTCTGAGTAATCAATACCTTCTCTTTGTGTGAAACCCTTGGCAACTAGTCWTGCTTTGTATCTGGGTTGTTGGAATCCTGGAATTTCCTCTTTGAATTTATAGATCCATTTGGATGCTATCGGTTTGTATCCCATAGGTAGTGGTACTAGGGTCCATGTGTTATTAACTTCTAATGAGTGCATCTCATCATTCATGGCCTCAATCCACTTATGAGCATTTAGCCCATTTACAGATTCTTCAAAACTTTGTGGTTCAACATCATTTAGGGTGTGTGCAACACTCAAGGCAGCTGCAATTACATTGGAGTCACTATACCTCTTTGGTGGATGAATTTCTCTTCTCTGTCTGTCTCTAGCAAGTGAGTAGTCAGCCAAATCAGATTGTTGCCTAGAGGTTTCACCTATATGTTGAGTTTCATCCCCTTCCACTACTTCAGATTCATCGTGACCAAGACCAACTTGATTTCTACTAACCTTTATTTCAGTTGGTAACTSCACCTCAATCTTGGATTGTTCAACTGCTTTRGTAGTTGATTCATGAACTTCTTGATACATAAACATATCTTCTTCTCTAAAAATTACATCCCTGCTGTTTATGCATCTCTGATCAGTGGGATGCCACATTCTGTAACCTTTAACTCCCTCAGTGAACCCTACAAACATACATCTTATCGCTCTTGGTTTTAGTTTACCTTGGTTTATGTGTACAAAGCCAACACAACCAAAGATTTTTAAATTGTTAAGCTTTGGTGGACGCTTTGTCCATTTTTCTTCAGGAGTTAGAAAACCAAGRGATGTATGTGGGCATCTATTGATGGTAAACACTGCATATGAAGCAGCTTCTGCCCAGAATCTTTCTRGTAGGCTAGCATCTGATAAAAGACACCTTATTCTCTCAGCTATTGTCCTGTTTAGRCGTTCAGCCACACCATTTTGTTGAGGTGTGTGTCTAACGGTCTTGTGATGAGTAATGCCATTGTCTTTGCARAACGAGCTAAACTCTTCCCCACAGAATTCCAAACCGTTGTCTGTTCTTAAGTATCTTACAGTTCTTCTAGTTTGATTTTCAACTAATTTCTTCCAGTCTCTAAACCTTTCAGTTGCTTGATCTTTAGTCTTTAGAAAAAATATCCATGTTTTTCTTGAAAAATCATCAATGATAGAGAGAAAATACCTCGAACCGCTTAATGACGGCGTTCTTGCAGGTCCCCATAGATCTGAATAGATGTAGTCCAAAATTCCTTTTGTCACATGATCTGATTTCTGAAAGCTCTGCCTTTTAGCCTTTCCGACAATGCAGTGTTCGCAGAAACTCAATTCTTCATTTAGGCCTGTCGGTAGAATACCTTGCTTACCTAACTCTTGTAAGCCTTTACCACTTATATGAGATAAGCGTTTGTGCCAGATATCKCCTCTTGAAAGACTACCTTCTGAYGATACAAGTGCCGCTCCTRCTGACTCTACATTTTGGATTACATATAGACCATTGACTTTCTCACCAACCAATACCACTTTTGAATCCTTTTTTACTTCAAAAGTACCTCCAGATCCAYTGTATTCACAGCCAATGGCATCAAGCATGCCAAGAGAAATTAAGTTTCTCTTAAGACTTGGAACATGTCTCACATTTTGGAGCAATTTCAAAGACCCATCTTTCATATTCAGAGATACAGTACCAATACCGACTACCTTGCAAACATGATTATTTCCCATATATACAGAACCACCATCCCATTCCTCGTAAGTTCTGAACCAAGCTTTCGAAGGTGTCATATGGTAGGAGCACCCCGAATCAAGAACCCAATCTTGATTTTCTTGAGATCCACTTTGTTCAGCACTGTGATMAATTGCAGCTAGAACATCTGAATATGTGARGGCATTTTCACCAACTGAGGCTTCACCAGATTTGTTTTTCTTATTTTTCCAGTTCTGTTTTCTTTTAAGGRAAAAAYMGTCTTTCTTTAAATGTCCCTCCTTATGACAATAGCTACATTTGATTTTAGATTTTCCTTTATCATCTTGTTGATTTTTCTGATCTTTCCAGCCGGTTTTATTTTTGTCCTTTGCAAAATGACCTTCGCCGTTAATTCTCTCTCGTTTAAGACGCCAATAGCTCTAATTCTTTGGTTCTTACTGCTGAAATTATTGCATCAGTAGATATTGATTCTCTTCCATATTTCAAGGCCACTTTCACTTCTTTATATGCTTCTGGAAGAGAGTTCAACAAGATAAAAGCTTCATTTTCATCTCCTATTTTTTCACCGAGATTTTTAAACTCTGAAGATAGTTTCTTGAAATCATCTAAATTCTCACTCAAGGATCTTGAATTATCCATCCTATATGTGAAAGATTTCTCTCTGATATATGCCTTATTTGGTAAATCTTTAGCAAGATATATCTCATCTAATTTGTTCCATACCTTGTATGCAGTTTCGAGATCAATAACTTGCCGTAGGACATTATCACTAAGATTCAGAATGATTGCCCCATAAGCGATCTCTTCCATTGTCTCCTTTTCTTCAATTGACATCGACTCAGGTAACTTTGCTGGATCAAGAATTGCTTTGGAAGCTTTCTGCTGTCCAAGAATAACTTTAATCTTGATTTTCCACAGCTCAAAGTCGCCTTTTCCATCGAACTTCTCAATCTCATACCTCGCTACAGCCATCGCTGGATCTTGCTTCGTGAATTAACCAAAAAAACTCCTGTGAACTGTGGCTCTGATACCAATTTTGTTAGTGGAAAACAAGAGCTTTTGCCAATTTAGAAGCTAGAGCGTAAGAGAAGAGTAAGGCGAAGAAGAAGACACAAGGGTTTAAGTGGTTTAGCCTAATGTTGGCCTAATATTAGCCTTACAGTGGACGTAGGCCAACATTAGGCTGAACCACTTAAACCCTTGTGTCTTCTTCTTCGCCGTAGCCTTACTCTTCTCTTACGCACTAGCTTCTAAATTGGGAAAAGCTCTTGTTTTCCCCTAACAGGAGCTATGGTTAGTCATTGGATGAACACCATTTTTTTCCCAAAATCAGAGTGACTAGCTTGGTAAGTTCTCCAACTCCCATGAATATTTGACATATGATTTAAGTTGATCAACTTTATGCATGGAATACAAGCATAATCTAGTTTAATTTGATGAAATATTAATTTTAACGCCTAAAGTTTGCATCGTCATCTCAGTCACATCCTTGACTCATAATTTCGTGGGGAAGGGTGAGGTAGTGTATCATAGCATGAATGTATCTAAACATTTTTCTATCTAAAAAGTTCCCCCGCTTTCTCATTTGTACTCTAATATTATTGTTTGGCCGTCTCTCTCATTTTCTTCTCAACAAATTTTTTATTTTTTTTTTCAAACTTTCTCCTCACTTTGATTTTTTTTTCTTTGTCCCTTTCAAAAAATTTCTTCAAACTTTTTCTAAATTTCTGTTCTTTTAAATTTATTTCTCTCCTCAATTTTTTTAATTAATTCTTTATAATTTTTTCTCTTCAAAATTTTTATTTCTCTTTATCTTTTCTTTACTCTTAAATTTTTATTCAGGTATTTTTCATAAATATGTCTCAACCTCTATCTAAAATTTATATTTACTTTTCTCTATAATTTTTTGTCTTTAAAGTTTTTTTAAAAAAATATTTTTATTTGGAACTTTTTTCTTCTCAAAATTTTATCACTTCTTAATTTTCTCTCTCCAAAATTTTTGTTGTAACTCTTTCCAACCCATTTCTCTCCAAACTTTGTATCGCTCTTAAACTTTTTTAACTTGTTTCTCTGTAAACTTTTGTTTAGGATGGAATCAAATATTTTGAATACTAATATTCATTTTCTTTAAAACCACTTTCTTAAAAATTTTTGTTTTCTAAATTTATCTTTCATTTTCAAACTTCTCTCTTATAAATTTGTCTCTCTTTAAAAACTTTAATTTCAATCTAACGTTTTCCTCGTTCTTTATTTTTAAATTTTCTCTCTTTGCAAATTTTGTACATTTCTCATCAAAGTTTTTATCTCTCTAAATTTTTCCTCTCTTAATTTTTTGTAATTATATCTCTAAAAATTTTTCTGGATTTTTGTTTCTTTTAAATTACTTAGAATTAAAATATATTTTAAAAATTTTTCTAAATTTTTTTGTTTTCTAAATTTATTCCTCACTTTCATACTTTTTTCTTCTTCTCGTTTTCGAATGTTTTTCTCTCCAAAATATTTTTCTAACCCTTTCTAGCTTTTGTCTCTTCCAAATCTTCAACTTTATCTTCTATTAAATTTGTTTTTCTTGTCTCTCTGAAAAATTTCTCAACCTCTTTTTAATCTTGGTGTTTCCAATTTACTTATGATTAAAAATCCTTTTGCTAATATTTATTCTTTTTTCTCCTAACTTTCATCTTTAATTTTTTTGAAAAATATATTTTGCAATTTCAAACTTTTTTCCTTTTTCAAAATTTGTATGTCTCTAACTTTTCTCTGCACTCTCTTTTAAAAATGTTACTCCAAACACTTTCCTGATTTTTTTTCCATTAATTATTTAACATAACATTTTTTAAAAATATAAAATTCATTTTTCTTTTAAGACCTTTGTCTTTTTAGGCCTTTGGTTTTTAAATTTATTTCACTTTTTGAAAATTTTCTCCTCCAATCTTGTCTCTCTTGGTAATTTTTTTATCTCTAAATTTTTTGGTTCATCTCTCTCTTACTGTCTCTGAATTGATGTCATTGGTATTTTTGTTTTTTAAATTTATTTTTCACTTTCCAACTTTTTTCTATCGTTTTTTTCCTTCTGTTTAAAACTTTTTTTCGTCTTTTGTCGTCCTTTTTTTTCCCTTAACTTTTTACTCTTAGATTTTTGTTGGTCTCTATAAAAGTTTTCTCAACCACTTTTGTTTTCTAAATTTAGTTATGATTGATTATTTTTTTGAAACTTTACATTATTTTTTTAATTATTTCTTGCTTCCAATTTTTTTTTTTCAAAAGTTTCTCACTTTCCAACTTTTTTTTTCTATAACTCTTTCTACCTTTTTCTCATGAAAATTTGTGTCCCTTCCACATTTCAAACTTAAATTTTTCCTTTTCTCATAACATTGTTTTAAAAATTTTCAAATAAAACAAAACTTTATTTCCTTTTTTAAAACAATTTTCTTTGAAAAAGTTTTCGCTCTTTTCCTTTTTTTCCCTCGAAAGTTTTTATTTTTTCATTTCAACTTTTCAATTTTCTAGTTTTTTTCAGTCTCTTCAAATATTTAAGATTTGAAAAACATGTTAAACAATTTATATTCATTATTTTCAATTTATAATTACTTGTCAAGTTTTCTCTTCAAAGCTTTTTTGCACTCTTATATTTCTTTTAATTCTCTCTATAAATATTTTCTTAACTCTCTAAATTTTTTTTTTAGAAAATTACTTATTATTAAGAAAAATTTTGAAAAGTTTATATTTTCTTTTTCCTCCAAAATTTGAAATATTTAAAAATAATTTTATTTCTCATTTTTGAACTATTTATAATTTTAAAATGTTTTACCCGTTCTTAAATTTTAAACCTTTTCCCATTTAAACATTTTATTTCTTTTTTCAACTTTTGATTAGGAAAACATTTTAAAAAACTTATATTCATTTTTTTCCTGTAAAACTCTATCTTTAATTGTTTTAGAAAACTCATTTAAACCTTTTCTATCTTCTAATATTTTTCATTGTCCACAAACTTTTACTCTCCAAAATACTTTTGAACCCTTTCGATATTTTCTCTTGAGAAAATTTTTCTAAATTGAAAAATTGACTCTTTATTATCTTTAGTAAATGTTTTTAAATTTTTTGTGAAAATTCTTTCTCACTTATTTTCTTGAAAATTTTTATTTTAAAGTGTTTCCAAACAGTTTCTCATTTTAATTTTTTTTTCTGTTTTCTATAAATTTGTATGTATTTCTAAAAATTTTTCTTCTTAACTTTTTTTTCTTCAAAATTTTAATATTTTCTGACTTTTAAGTTTATATTTAAAATTATTCTTTAAATTTTAAAAAAGCTTTTCTCACTTTTAAACTATTTTTATCTCTTTTTAAAAAAAGTAGTTATATTTCTAAATTTCTCTCAAAATTTGTTGGCCAGCTTATATTGGAAAAGTGTTTATTTGTCCTTAAATTCTCACATTCATTCTTTTGTTCTAAACTGTCTTTAATTTTTTTATCTTTCAAAAATCCATTTTAATTTTTTTTTTATCTTCAACTATTTTAATCCTCCATAAAATTATCTCTCCCAAAGTTTTTTTCCAACTCTTTCCATATTTTTTCTTCAGAAGTTTTTTCTCTAAATTAAAAAATGGACTCTTTCTTATCTCTAGGAAATTAATTTTAATTTTTTTGAGAAAATTATTTCTGTTTTTTTTTTTTTGAAAATTTCATTTCTTACTTGTAACTTTTTATAAGTTTTGTCAAACACTTTTTAATTTATTATTTTTTTTATTTTTAAACTTTTTTGTCTTCAAAATTTTAATATTTTCTTACTTTACAAAGTTTCTCCCCAAAATACTTGTAAACCAACATTTATTTTAAGTTTATGTTTAAAATTCTACTTTAGACTTTAAAAATACTTTTCTCACTTTCAAACTATTTTTATCTTTCTTAAAGAAAGTAGTTATATTTCAAACTTTTTCTCAAAAATTTTTTGTCCAACTTATATTAACGTTTTTCGCCTGAAAGTTTTTATTTGTTGAAAAATTTATATTCATTTTTTCTCGAAACTCTGGTCTTTAATTTTATGTCCAACTGTTTTATTCTTCCATTAACTTCTTTTCAAAATTGACTCTTTCTTATCTCTAGGAAATTGATTTTAAAATTTTTGTGAAAATTATTTTTTACGTTTTTTTCCCTTGAAAACTCTATTTCTAAAAGTTTTTGTCAAACTTATATTAACTTTCTTGTCCTGGAATGTTTTTATTTGTCCAAAAATTTATATTCATTTTTTCTCTAAACTCTGTCTTTAATTTTTTTTACAAAAATCCAGCTAAATCTTTTATATCTTCAACTATTTTATTCCTGCTTCATAAACTTTTCTCTTCAAATTTTTTAACTAACTCTCTCTAATCACTAAGAAATGATTTTTAAAATTTTTGTGAAAATTCTTTCTAATGTTTTTTATTGAAAATTCTATTTCAAACTTATGACTCTTTAAAAGTATTGTCAAACACTTTCTCCTATATATAAATTTGAATATATTTCTAAAATTTTCTTCTTGACTTTTTTGTCTTCAAAACTGTAATATTTTCTTACTTTTCAAGTTTTCTACTCAAAATATTTTTCTTCTCTTTAATGATTTCCAAAGATCTTAATTTGTTTTCCTTCTAAATTCTATTTGCAAGATTTTTCTTAAGTCTCTTTTTAATGTTCTTTTTATAACATTACTTGTATTCTTTTCCTCAAAAATTTTTGTCCAATTTATGTTTACTTTTTTATCTTCAACTATTTTATTCCTCGTTTATAAACTTTTTTCTTAAAAAGTTTTTTTTATCACTCTTTCAATAATTTTCTCTTGAGAAGTTTTTTCTCTAAATTTTAAAATCGACCCTTTCTTACCTCTAGGAGATTGTTTTTAAAATTTTTGTGAAAATTCTTTCGAACATTTTTTTATTGAAAATTATATATAAATTTGCATGTATTTCTAAAACTATTTCTTAACATTTTTTGTCTTCAAACTTTTTAAATTCCTCCTTAAAACTTAAAAAAAAAAATTTCTCACTTTCAAACAATTTTTATCTCCCTGTAAGGTTACATTTCTAACTTTTTCTCAAAATTTTTTTGTCCGACTTATATTAACTTTTTTTGCCTGGAAAGTTTTTATTTGGCCAAAACTTTATATTCATTTTTTCTCAAAACCGATTTAAATCTTTTTTATTTCCAACTATTTTATTCCTCCATAAACTTCTTTGCAAAAGTTTTTTTCAATCTCTTTGGATAATTTCTCTTAAGAAGTTTTTTCTCTACGCTTATGTAAAGATTGACTCTTTCTTATCTCCATGAAATTTATTTTAAAATATTTTTGAAAATTATTTCTAACGTTTTTTTTTGTTGAAAACCCTATTTCTAACTTGTAACTTTTTAAAAGTTTTTTCAAAACTCTCTAATTTGTTTTAAAATTTTCACACTTTTTTCTCTTATATATAAATTGTATGTATTTCTAAAAAAATTTCTTCTTGACTTTTTTGTCTTCAAAATTTCAAAATTTTCTTATTTTTCAAGTTTTCTCCCCAAAATTTTTTTAGTCTCTTTTTAAGTCTCTTTTTTTGATGTGTTTTTTTATTTTATAAA